CCCAAGCGTAGCTTAGATGTGGCACAAGGCCGAAAGTATGGGGCACCCAGTGAGGATCGAACTCACTACCCAGTCGTAATTTTTCTAGCGAGACAAGCTTGCTAACCATTACACCACTTCGAGATGACCATGGACGGTAGATATCATATTATAACAGCACTGAAATATATTTTGCTGTTCTCCACTTCTGCATGAGGTTTTTTGCTTCTTGTGTCTTCTTATCATCAAAAGACGAGTAGAATTCAAAGATAAATTATTCTGTTCTATTTATTATATTTGTTTTGGTTTGCTTTTCTAATATACAAAGTTTACTTAATCCTGTGTAGATGGTCAGTGCTACTTTCGATCAAAATTTATAAACTCTTTCTATTAACACAATTGTTCAAGAAAACAGGTTCTTAAATTCAGTAACTGTCATTACACTTTACATTGGCGATTGGGGCTTCCTTCTTCATTTTCTGACTGAAGTAGTGTCGAACGTCAACATCTTGATTATATCATTATTTTCTCTTTGATAAATATCGAAAACTATTCACCATTAAAAAAAAATGATCTTCAGAAACTTTCATTCACGCCATAAAAACAAAATACGAAATAATTATCGACTTCTATTTGGAAGCACTCTGTGAACCTCAATTTTCAGATGGCAAAGAAAAATGCATGGAAAATGCTTTTAAACGACTTCCATATCCTAATTATTTCATATATAATTCCCATCGTAAAAATCAGCGGATTAGATTAGAAAAGTGTCTATCCCAAATTTAACATGAAAATAATCCGATAAATATTTCATTAAGTGTTTTTCGATAAAACATGAAGTGGCTTAGACAGTGTGTATATATTTGGGCAACACTTACATATATATATATATATATATATATATATATATATATTTTAGCCACACTCTACTGTATTTAAGTAAATACACATATATATATGAATAAAAAGACTTTCAAAAATTCTAGGAACTAAAGATATTCAATAAAAATAAAAAAAAAAACGTCGAGTCGGCCCTAAGAAACAGCGGATATACAAACTAACTAGAATATAAAAAGGAAAATAACACAAACAAAAACAAGAGAAAAAGAAATTTGGTTCGATCCACCCTATAACAATATAATAAAAACAAAAATAGGCAATATATTTTTCAATCTAATTAACACAGTTTTCTAACAACAGCAAATTATCAAAAATTACCAATAAAAATAAGATCAGAAATAGTTGCTGCTGCATGGATACTATGGAAATAATAATGAAGCAAAATTAAAAAAAAAAAAAAATACTTAAAAAAAGTTAACAGCAATAGCAAGGACAACCAGCAGAATAACACCATCAAATGTAATTGTAGAAACAAAGAAAATTGCCCACTTAATAACAAATATGTAATGAATAACATAATATACAAATCTACCGTAAGTAATAACATGAAGACAGAGGAAAAGTTAATATGAGGTACTATAGAAAAAAAAACCCAAAAGAATGATACAACAAAAGCCTATCAAAATACATATGAACTCAAAAACAAAACAATAATCAAAAAAACAAAATCAAATGGGAAATCATAAAAAGGGCAACTCCATACAGCATTAGTCAGAGTACTGATTGTAACATCAATCAGCCGATAAATTCTATATTTGTATTAATCTTATATATCTATCTATCGATCTATCTATATCTATATCTATATATATTTATATATATATATATATAATTACATATATATATATATGTAATTTTTTATATACCAGAAGAATATTAGGAAAATAAATGACAAAGTAGAAAAAAATGTGAGTCTAGCCAATTGCATTTAATTTCTTTTTCTTTTTGTTTATATTTTTAGAACTTTTGTTATTAAGCATTCCAAATCGTGATAATGTAAGATCTGCTACAAAGGTGGAATGTAAGAATTTAGTCGCAAAATTACTGTGGATACTCTAGCGATTATATATATATATATATATATATATATATATATATATATGTGCGTGTGTGTGTGTGTGTTTATATATATATATATATATGTGTGTGTATGTGTGTGTGCGTGTGTGTGTGTATATATATATATATATATATATATAAATTAATTGATTTAAAAAATATGGTTATTTTCCTTTTTCAACCATGTTTCAAAAATAGAAGCTAAAAACCCTAATTTTATTTTGAAGATAAATTAAAGCATTAGTTCTATTTTATCTTCAAAATAAAATTTCGGTTTTTAGATGAAATTTTGAAACATGGTTGGAACTGTGTAGCGAAAATAACCATTTTAAATCAATTAATTTATAATATTAATGCTCTGTAAATTTACATTGAGCACTATTTTGTAAAAATAAAATATCTATAAGAACACCGGATTTTATATCTTACTGTTCTTTCTTTTTATTTATATACATATATATATATATATATATATATATATATATATATATTAGTGTAACACTTTTATCTATTTGTATATATATTTGTATAACACGTTTCACAAAATGTCCAGATAGTACATCCTGTTCCGCGCAATTGTTTGCTTCCTCAGAAGTGAAATCCAACACAGGATGAAACCTGGAGGCATACACAGCTTCGTGTGAGCAACGACACACATTTCTAAGTCTACGCGACCAGTTAAACTATTCTGAAGACACCGGAATATTCTAATCCTCTACTTCGCCTCTACTCTCGCCTCGTTTTTTACTGCGTTCGACTCAAGACAATAACCAGGCCGAGGAGAAACAAATACGCTACTAGGACACCTAATTAGGCTCTGAGTTTTGATAGGAGAACACAGGATCCATACTTTGATCCCAGGCGGAGATTTCAGATTTTTTTTTTTTTTGATTTTTTTTTCTTCCACCAGCAGGCATAACATTTTTTTTTGTTCATCAAAACGAAAAATGCAACATTTGTCTTACAAGTTTGAAGCAAGCAAAATACGGCTTATTTTCTTCAAGACTACTCGAGAACATAATATTCCACCACCATGAAAATCAACTCCATTTACAACTATCAACAGCATTGTTTCTCCCGTGCTCAACAGAAAAAGGTTGAAATAATTCCAAAGGTGACTCACTGATCTTTCTCACTCTTAAAAGGTGTTAACACAAGCAACTAAGAAATCTGCAAGTACAATTTAATAACACAAGAAGATAGCTGCGTCTTCGAGAAAAATTGGCAATAACAACAGATATCTTAAAATTCTCGCAAACATGTATTTGAAATGCTGTAGAAATTTCACTAACATCTGCTCAACAACTTCAAAATTCGACGCTTCTTCTATTTAAGTTTTGTGTGCCAACATCATCAACGTACAGCAAATAAACCAGGCCCTCCAGACAAAATCAATTCAATGTGGCGCATTGCACAACAGGATTTTAATACCAACCGCTGAACACTATTTTTCTACAATACCGACATATCTTCTAGGGCGGGCTACGACTCAGATCCAGTAGAGAATTATATATCACCTTGATGACACAGTACTTCAGACAAGTACATTTTCGTCGACATGATTAAACACACATTGCAACCAACTTGTTCCACTCTTTTTATTTTCAGCCTACGAGCGACAAAACACGAACTTTATGGACATACGAGGAGAATAAAATTCTCCCTATCTGGAGAGGAGTATTGCAGAGGTGCCCCACTTATTTTCCAAGAAAAATCCGCCGCTAGAGGATGCTTCCTAAGATATAAATTCTCTCTCTCTCGCTCTCTCTCTCCCTCTCCCTCTCTCTCTCTCTCTCTCTCTCTCAGATGTAGGTCTCACGTAGATAAAAAAAAAAAAAAACACTGCCACGGAGGTGCGTTTGCTTCCCTTGTTGACTTTTGAACTCTCTCACACTCATGCATATATACACATGCTTGTTACACTTACTTATACACAAACACCTTTAGTAGTTTAAATGTTTTCTACATTAATATTTATCGTTCAGTAACACGCAACAATATTTTATATATATATATATATATATATATATATATATATAGGTTTGGTGTTACTTTTACATTTATTACCTGGACTCACATTTCGAGTCCGTCATTTTTTGTGGTATAATTAGGCATAGAGAAACGTATTTCCACCTAAACACTTGACCCGCATACGCCCGCAACACTTTATACCATTAAATTATTTTCCACGGATACTATGCTACTTTTGGAGAAATAAATATTAACCTTTGTATATGATCGACTTACACATTAATAAGAGTCTTTTAGGTTTGCGTGTGTGTTTAAATGATTTCTAATGGAGCTGTGGTCGGATAGGTGTGGCGTAAGTCGTCTGGATAGGCATGTAGTAGTGTGAATGATGTAATTATTTATGAGTTCGGTTTGATCAGGAATACATAAAGGAAATACATCCGAAATATACTAGTAGAAAACGCAAGCATAATAACTTCATCCACATGTGAAAAAAAATGATTAAAACTATTAGAAGCCCTAATAATAAAAAAAAGAAAAAGCCAACGCTCAATAACATTAACTACAAACAAGTTGCTGACTGCGTTTGGAAAATAAAACACCCCTATAACTGTAGATATAAAAACACAACCAATACATTCAGTTAAAAAGTAAACATAATATCGTCCTTGATAAGGTCTAAGCAGAGCATTTGGACAGTTTTTATACACTTTGTGTCCAGAAAAAGAATCGCATGTATGAAGACAAGAAAAATTAAATAAAAACCTTAATCGCAGTACTTTGTCAATCGTCTTTAACGCAACACCCAAACACCCCCCTATATATATATATATATATATATATATATATATATAAGTGTACATTGAAGTCAACATCCAGAGGCGACAGTCTGTTTCATTCTAAACGCACATGGTCTGAAGATTGAGTTTAGCATGAAACGGACTGTCGCCTCTGGGTGTTGATTGCAATGTCCACTTTTATATTTACATACGCTCTCTCCCTGTATATTACCAATTCCTGACTAGTAGGGATAATTCCAAGGAGGATATTAATCCAGAAAGAAACTACAGAGCATTATAATGATAATTAACAGGAAGAGAAGAGAGAGTGTGTAAAGGGAGGGAAAGGAAAGAAGGAAGAAATGAATGGATAGTAGTAAAACTAAAATAGAATGACCATCAAGTATATCGGTATTATCATATATATAAGAAAATATGCATCCTACGGCAGGAAACGAACCTGGATGCTATACAGAAGCGCCTGATCTGCTTTTACCGATTTCGCCACAGAGAAGCGTTCACTTAGCAAAGTCGATTTTACTGTTTTTAAATCACAATCTACCATGAATTTCTCACGTACATTCATATCTGCCCAATGCGTATCCAAATGTAAACAAATGACGTCACACATTATGAAATGGACAAAGTCCGACAATTATTTTTAAGACATTGTTATGTTTATACATTCGTTTTTATAGATACAAATATTTAAGTAAATGCACTGTTTATAAGAAACAGTATTAACAACATTTACCGGCCGGAATGTCCGAGAAATTTTCATAGAAAATATGCGTCCTCGGACAAGAAATAAACCTGTATCATATATATATATATATATATATATATATATATAGTCAGGCTATATGACGGTTCCGTATAGGATACAGGTTAGATTCCTGTCGCAGGACGCATATTTTCTGTGAAAATTTCTCGACATTCAAGTCGGTAAATGTTGATAATACTGTTGTTATAAACAGAGCATAAATATATATATATATATATATATATATATATATATATATATATATATATATATATTAATTCCTATGGTGTTTTATGTTAGAGAATGCAATCTGTTAACAATCTGATCTCATCTACTTACCAATCACATATTTCGTTACAAAAAAAATGGAAAATCTCATTAGTAGGTAGGGGAAATCAGACTGCGTGGCCGATAACTATATAAAGTCGCTTGTTGTTTTGTATGATTATTGTCATAAATAGTAGTAGTAGCTGTAATATTAGTTGCAGTTTTAAGATAAGTATGTAGATGTAACTATTATGGATTATAGATTCAACGAAACTATTCTACTTGTGTTTTACGGTTCGTTTATTTTCATCTAAGCAGCCACTTGTAAATGGCCTAAATTTTCTTAACCTTTTCGTCTTTATTAAATCAATTCTTTCAAGATTTTCTCTCTCGTTCTTCATGTCATGTATTGATTTATTTTATCAAGCTCAGCCTAGCCCGACACAAAATCAGCGATGTGAGGTACCCAATGAGGATTGAACTCGCTACAGTCGTAATTGTTTGAGAAAGTCGATTGCTAGCCATTACTTCACGGAGTGGAGGCACAGAATTCCTATTTAATGAGCCCTTTTTTTAATGAGCCCTGTTTAGACTCTAATTTGAAATCTTGGCGAAGGGGAAGTGAGAGAGAGACAGGGAAAGAGAGTATTTACAGCTAATCCTCCAAGATCGATGAAACTGTTTGTCATGAAAATTCAGATTTTGAATTCCTGGATTTTTTCCTCGGTATTCAACGTCGACTTCTGACGCACATTAGCAGATATGCGACTATCACAACCACCATAGCTATCCAACAGCAAATGTCCAAGATTTTCAGTAATAATAATAATAATAACCGCTGCTTGTCTCCGAGTATGACTATCTGCTAGCTCTGCTAGACAATCCCTGTTGTAGACACCTACTCAGGCACGTTTGTGTTTGTTCAAAACCCACAGAACCCTCTGATTTATACTGCAACTATACCGAGCGGATTTTATTTACAGTGTCTCGGGGAGGGCCCATTGTTAGCAGTTTGAAAAAGACCAATGAGCGGTCACGATGATTTTGTGCTATCAGAATTTCTATACGCATCATCATTTTCTGAGGCTTACTAGTTCTGGCACAAGGCTACAAACATGCGGTACCTGGTGATAATATAATAGTAAAGAGCTAGAAGATTAATTGACTAAGCCATAGTTCAATGGCACCTCGATCCAATGATAAACCTTTCTCGGTCAGGTACAAGGAGAATTTGGAGAATAATAAGATGGATTATGTTTCATTAATCTTTGAAAATCATCATTTGAAAATATTAACTTTTATTTTGACTTGAATGCCGCTCCTCAATGACGTTTGGAAACGTGCAGTTCAACTGCTACAGAGCGGGCCTGAGGCATGTATTCGTATATTGTATAGAGTACTTTTGGAGTATCACGTGTGCCCAGAAAAGTTGGGTTCGAAGAGAAAAAAAGTAAAGTGGATCTTTATTCTTTAACAACGACAACAAAAAAAGAACGTCCTGTTATTTGGTTATCTATTTATAAACCATATCTGCATTTCACATCACTTGCCGGGAACGTTCCTACTTTTTTGTGTAATTCAAGGCCAAAAATGTATGGCACCCTAAGAAAAAAAAACTGTATATCGATTTCTCATACTCGAAATAAGAGAAAATCTCTTGATTTCTATAACGATCATTAAAAGATGAATTTTGCATAAACTCCAATTGTAGGACTTGTTTTTGGTCATGTATTTATTTGTACTGCTTTGAATTTTTTTCTTTCTTTCTTTTATTTATGTGTGCGTGCGTATGTAACGGACGTACGTTAATGGCGGCGTGCCGGGGAAAAACAGCAAACTACTTTACATCCGATATTGCGAGAACTTCTCTCATTATCTTGAATATAGATTTGGAATTTAATTGGGTGTTTTAAAGGCTACTAGGATATATAGATAGATAGATAGATAGATAGATAGATAGATAGATAGATAGATAATGAATAGACTGAGATAGATAGATAGATAGATAGATAGATAGATAGATAGATAGATAGATATGAGCAGTCTGAGATAGATAGATAGATAGATAGATAGATAGATAGATAGATAGATATCAACAGTCTGAGATAGATAGATAGATAGATAGATAGATAGATAGATAGATAGATAGATAGATAGATAGAAACATACTGGGGAAGTATACTAGTGATCTGATATATATGAAGAGAACTGGCAGATACTTACATGATTGTAAACAGAGATATACTTTTCATATAAGATATATATATATATATGTGTGTGTGTGTGTGTGTGTGCTCGTGTAAGTTTGCGCGATATCTAGATCTTATAACGTAAAATCATTTTTCAACTATTCCATGATGTCAGTATCCTGCAACACTTTGTACTGCAGAACGTGAAAACAGAATCATATATAATTGTTTTTAAATAGATTCGTTAATGGTTGCTTTGTTTTTGTTTTATTTTCGTCGTTTGTTTTGTTTTTTGTCAGGGAAAGTTACCTTGATTTAATCAGTCCGTTCTTTTACCTGGATTTGTCTCGTGTCATTCATATCGGTTAAAAAAATATTTGCTTCCCTGAATGTTTTAAATTTAGATATGACAACTGACTGTACTTTCTTTTCAAAGGTTAAGTATTTAGTCTTTTAGAGAGAGTGGGAGAGAGAGGGTGGAGGTTTAATAAGTTTTGACATATCATTGATAGACGTTCAGTCATCGGCACCGAATTGATAGATAGATAGATAGATAGATAGATAGATAGATAGATAGATAGATTTGCAT